CCCGCCGTGGCCCCCTTGCCGCCACTCTGCCTGCCCTCGCTGGGCCCGTTCCCCTTTGCGACTGACACCGATTGGACCGTTGGTTTTCCCCTCTGCCTGCCGCCCCGGTTTCGCTGCTGCCCACCCACTGTCGCACTTTTTCCAGTCGAGCCCCTTCGGGCGACCAGAAAGCCAACAGGCTGTCACGCAGGATTTGGTTGTTGATTGCAGTAAATAAAATAAATTAAATGGGAGCAAATCCCTTCCCGTTGTGTGCATGCGGCTTCAAGCGAGACCCTTCAATTGCGGTCTTCGCCGGTCCCCGGTCTTAGGAATCTTTTATTTTGATTAAGAACAGCAGGAATCATACAAATATTAATCATAAAATTCTGGTATGTCATGCATGCATCAATTTTGCCAATTTTATAATTTTTGAGAAATGTAACGAGATCATCTGGGAATGCAAATCAAGCAGAAATAATGCAAAAGATGCAAGACTGACTGACTCTAGTGATGACAAGGATAAGTGAGGGAAGAATGAGAAATCATAATAATCTCAGAGAGTACACATGAGGAGAGCATGGCCAGCACTAGTCAAGAGTCCTCACTCATCCCTCTGGTAGTACACTCAATCTCTCATTTTGCTGTGTGTTTCCTGTGCCTTGAGCCAAGTCTCTGTGCCCTCTGAGGTTGTGGTCTCTCGATGTAGAGCCACCTGAAGCCTGCTAGTTCAGTGCAGTTCCATCCAAGTCCCATGATACGAAAGTCAACCATAACACAAAACTCCTCCCATAGAGTAGGAAGGTATGGCTAAGAGAAAATCCCTCGTCTGAGATGCTGGAACTGTGATGGTTCGGTCACCGCCTCATAATCAATCGCTGCCGGCGAAATGTACCTCTTGGCTAGATCCACCAGGTCACCCCAATTAGAGCCATCCGTGAGAGTGAAGGGTGCTGGAGGCTTGGGATAATCAGTGTAGAGCTTGGGTCCGAAGCCACGGATCAACTTTGTCCCACTCTCATCAAGCTCGCTTTCTCTCTCCTCAAGGTGCCTGGCATCTGAGATCCAGACTGAGTCGAAATGTTCATGTGTTTCTTTACCTTTCTTCAAATAAATCCTCAAGTCATGGATAGAACCCCCAGCAAACTTGGTAAGGACCACAAAGATTGGCAGATCTCCTCGTTTGAATCCAACTGCGCTGACATACTGATACTGAAAGGCATCCTTGAGAGCTATCTGGTTGAGATTGGCCAAGACTGACCCATTGACTGGAAATGACTGAATCGTACTCATGTGTTGTGATGGATACTGAAGCCGATCTTTGGCGTAGGGCGAGAGAATAGCCTTGTGCTGAATGTTTCTGACTGGAAGTTTTGAGTGACTCGGACGATTGAATGTTGATTGAAGGCTAACCGAGTTCCGGTTGATTGCCGATTGAATAACGAATCACCAAACGCTGGTCACTTGGTGTCAGGAAACTGAAAAGACCGCAACACTTGCTAGATTGAGATGCTGATTGGGTTCTTTAGGAGAAGAGTCTAACACCTTTGAGCTCACCTGAGCCTTGCCCTGGCCTGCTCCACCGTCTCTAGCATCGAGCCAGTGCTGTGTAATTTGCCATCGCGGTCACAGAAGTAGATCACATGTTCAATGTACTTATTCCCTTTTGCCAACCCAACTGCAAATTCTCTTTGAGCTTGCATGTGGGACTCCATGCACTGGCGGGCTCCTTCTTCCCATCCTACCTTCTTGTCCATGTTTGATCGGTACTACATTACTAGGACTTCGTCCTTTTTCATAATGACCCAAATGGGAACTTGATTTGACACTGGCCAAAGGAGGCGTTGACTAGATAACACCAGGGTACAACAACGTCTTGGATGATCGAGAGCTGTGTAACGCCCGACTACCCACTCATCAACCGTGGACGTTCAGGTGCCTATCGAGGTTATGGAGTGTTGAGCGATACTTGCTGAACCATTCGTTAGGGCATGAGTAGGTCACGCTCAATAATAATTTGAAAAAAGAAAACCTCATGTACTGACTTTAACCGATCGAAATGGCACAGTCATATGGATCGCGCTGCAGCTTTAGTTTCGGTAGTACTCCGCACACTTGACTGTGAACTTGCCCTCATACAACGCAAAAAAAAAACCTCCTCCCTTTCGGTCCTTCGAGGGCTACAGTCTGATCCAAATTTCGCACCTCCCTTTTTCGTCCTACCGCGTAGGTTGATTTCAGAATGTTTTCTCCCCCTTGCTTTCCTTCACTCTTCGAGTCTCTCCTAGTCGACCGCTTTTGAGATGAAATGTCAGTGGCACCGAGGTTCTGGGTAATTGGTTTGCAACCAGAGCACTCTG